AAGTGAAAGTTCTATGGGTTTTACAGGCATAGGAAAGCGCCATTCCTCTTCAGACTTCTTCTCAAGAAAGAAGCAGTTAATTTAAACGTTTCAGATTTTTAGGTTAAACCTGTGCCTGGAAAAAGAAAGAAATAACAACTGTTTAAATGGTACCAAAATTTGTTCACATGTATACCCTACTCTTTGCACTTTTTTTTTTTTTTTCAAATTTAATATGGTTTTGATGAACATATAAAGATCGTCCGCTTTAGTGTTCAGATTAATGCCTAACTATGGATGATTAAACAATTAGATAAAAAGCATTGAGTGTTACTGGCAAGCAGCAAAAAAAAAAATCTTTTGATAATTAGTTGTCATTTGGCTATTGGAATCGGGAATGAGGAAGGAATGTAATTTGGAATCCAGTTTGTGTTCTTTTGTGACACTGTATCAATTCCATAATCATTTTCATAACTTTGATTAGCCAAAGTAACAAATGAAGGTTGGGGGAGGCGGGCGGTTGTCTTTGAGATTCTAAGGTTTTGTCAGGTTCATATAAATCACAGTTATTTTAACTATCTTCACACTTTTTTCCAAAAATAGTGAGGAAGAAAAGGTAGAAAACTTTTTCTTCTGTTATCACTTGTTTATTTCTTTTTAATAACTTTTTTTTAAAAATGCTTTACTTCATTTTTAATAATTTGAAATAAATTACAGGAAATAATTGCTGCTGCCAAAAGGAGTGAAATAGCAGCAAAACAAACAGAAAAAAAGTAAGGATAAAAAAAAATTTTGATGGGGGTTAACTGCATATTTTGATCCTATTTTTTAAGTGCTATTTTCAACCAAATATTTCTACATAATAAGACGGATTTGATGTCTTTATTTATTTATTTATTTGTTTATTTGTTTATTTGTTTACTTATTTATTTATTTGTTCATTTATTTATTTTGCTTTATTGCTTACTTATCCGTCCGCTAGTTTTTTTTTTGATTCTACACTTACATTAATACTTCCTATCCTTCCGACAATTCTGCATATTTTTTCTTCGCCGATGAAATTGAATGTAATTTCAAGTGTTTAAAAAGAAAAAAATAGGAGGAAATTGTTGTTGTTGTCGTCTGGTCAATATGCTTTAAGAGTAAGTTGTCAAGTCCTCATATCAAATGAAAAAACAGTTTCAGTTTGTTTTTGGTAAACGTAGAAGAGGATAAGAAAAGGAGAGGAAAATAAAGTTTTGTAAATCTATTATTTTCTGTTAATGGCATGATGTGTTTTTTATTCGGCAAAAAGTTTATCAATTCCCGTATAAACAGTAATACGCGTGCAAAATACGTATGTCCACAGATTAGGACTGAATAAATAAGGATTTTCAAATTTAGCGGTTTTTAAATTTGACCAAGAAGATTGAGAAAAAAAGCTTTTTCCAGCATATCAATACTTCTGATGTTCGGAAAAACCTTTTTCTAGTCTTTTTAGTCTTTAACACTTTGTTGACAGTATTTGAAACAGCGATGGTGATAAAACATTTAATTTTGTATAATTGATTGATTCTAAAAATGTTTGTTTTTTTTTTTCTCCCGTCCCTGTTATTCTTATTATCAATTGTAATTGCCATTGTTTTCAGATTTATGGTGTTGTTGATGACGACGAAAAAAAAAAAAACAATAAAAAAAAGCAAAAAATACTGAAAAATAGAATTGTTGTTGCTGTCAGTTACCTTTTTTTTCTTCAACTGTAAACACTTTGTCATGTAGTCAACTGTCTGGAATTTGTACAGACAAAATTGCTAAGTTCTTTTCTTCAAATAACAAATTTGAAGCTTCAGTCTCCCTTTCTTTTCGTCCTTACCGTTGTTCCTGTTACAGTAATCCGATGCTTGGAAACGACAAGAACGACTAAACAAATAGAAACCTAATCTACTAAAATCTTAAAATCTGTTTTTGTTTCTTGCCAGGTAAAAAAGCCTTTAGTGTTTTTAAATCTGCTGTTGCTTCTGCTTCTAACCATTTCGTCTTACATCTGTGCCAATAATTTTTCCCGAATACAAACGTTTTATGACGATCCGTTGTTAATGCATCACTTCAACTGCTCTTTTCATCTTCTACTTGTTTCTTCTGAAAAAAAAAAAAAAAAAAAAAAAAAAATGAATAAATGGAATTTTTTCATTTTTTTTTTTTTTTTTTGGTTTATTTTTTCTCACAGTAATTATTCTTTTTTTTTTTTTTTTTTTTTTTTTTTTTTTTTTTTTGTGTAAGCAAACAGCCACAATGAGAGCCAAAGAGCAAGCCGAGACAGTTGAACGTCGGCAATCATATTCGACTTATTCAAGTGGCACACCAAAAAACAGTTTCAAGATTTCATTAAATCAACTGTTTGTTTTTTTTTTCGGTTTGAACATATCAGATTACAACAGCCACAACCGCAAGATTAAAAAAATAGTTCTTATCCCAATTCTTAAAGAAAAAAAAAAAACAAAAAGGAATTAACAACTTTGGCTGCATATACTTAAGGTAATTTCCACATAATAATGCACATGCCATTGAAAAAAACAACCTATATTGAAATAACTCGTAATTCATGATAACAAAAAAATATTCAGGATTGTCAGAAGAATAGAAAGTGGTAATGCAGGCGTAAAGAAGCAAACAAAACAAGCAATAAAGCGAAAAAAAAAAACAAATGAATAAATGAAAACACCAAAGCGGTCTCATTTATGGAAATATTTGGTTGAAAATAGCAGCAGAAAAATGGGATCAAAATATGCAGTTAACCCCCATCAAAATTTTTTTCATTGTTATTTTTTTTTTTCTGTTTAGCTGCTATTCTACTCCTTTTAGCAGCAGCGGTTATTTCCTATAATTTATTTCAAATTATTAAAAACGAAGTGAACCATTTTTAAAAAAAGGGTTATTAAAAAGAAATAAACAAGTAATAACAGAAGAAAAAATTTTTTTTTCTACCTTTTCTTCCTTACTACTTTTTGGAAAAGTGTGAAAATAGTCATAATAACTGTGACTTATATGAACCAGACAAAACCATAGAATCTCAAAGACGACTCCCCGCCCCTTCCAATCTTCATTCGTTACTTTGGCTAATTAAAGTTATGAAAATGATTATGGAATTGATACAATGTTACAGAAGATCACAAATTGGATTCCAAAGTACATTGCTTCCTCATTCCTAATTCCAACAGCCGAATAACATCTAATTAGCAAAAGATTTTTTTTCTGCTGCTTGCCAATAACACTCAATGCTTTTCATCTTTTTATTTAATCATCCATAGTTAGGCATTAATCTAAACACTAAAGCGAACAATTTTTATATGTTTATCAAAACCATATTAAATTTGAAAAAAAAAAAAAAAGTGC